TCGGGGTTCCCTTGGCTGCGGTGGGTGTTTCTGGGGAGCCCCGGGGCTGGGATGTTCCCAGCTGTGGGAAACCTCCAGCTGGGCTGTCTGGGCTGTGCAGGTGTCCTGTGGGGAGCAGCTGGGGTGCAGTGGGCACCTCCAGCACCTCCTGGAACACGAGGTGTGGTGGCGGTGACGCCAGACCCTGCCCGGGGGGAGCAGGGTGCAGACCACCCACTCCTCCCACAAAGGTCACCCAGCAGATGGGAACTGCTGGTCACTGGAGTGGAGCCAACGAGCCGGAGATGAAAGGCTCCCTGGCCCCTTAATGAACCCCTCCCCACTCAGGCACCTCAGCCCCCTGCACCACAAGCTTTATTTACATCCATTAGGAGCCCTTGGCCGGCTGATGGAAGCAGCAGAGCTCCTGCTCCCCCTTCTCTGGGAAACCTCACTGTCAATATTTGCCTTGGAGGAGCGTGTCCAGCAGGCCAAGCCCTGTCTTGTGGCCGGAGGGGACTCCTGCTCCCTCCTGCCTCAGGCACAGCCCCGGGGGTTCCCAGCACTGCCCGGAGGTGACACACATTTCCACGCTGTCCCTTGGGTGGGGGCTGGCCGGGCTGACCCCCCCAGAGCCATGCTGGTGTGCGGAGCAGGAATCCACACGTGCAATAGAGGAAAAAAACCCTTCCAGGAGGCTTGGGGAGCATCTGTGGGAGATTTTAAAAAGAGTCCAACCATCAGTGCTGCTGGGCCGGGTGCTGTGGTTCCCCCGGGGAGACAGAATGGCCACCCGGGGCCATCCTCATCCTCAGGGAAGCGCTGGTGCCAGAGCAGCAGCCGCTCTGGTTAGAGGCAGCCGTAAAAACCCAGGAGCTTTGGGTCAGTTCCCTGCTCTGCCTCGGGCTCGTGCTGTGGCCGGGGCTGCTGGGGGCAGGTGAGAGCCCAGGGGTGGCCGGGAGCAGCTCGGCCCCAGGCAGAGCCTTCTGCAGCCCTTCAAAGTGGAAAGTGTGTTTATTTCTGCGCTATCGGGTTTCCGGCAGGAAGGCCGGCAACTGCCAAGGTTTTTATTGGATCCCAGTGAAAGGAATCCAGAGAGCCCTGTGCTTGTTGTCCTTCCCTGTGCCTGCAGTGGTTCCTACCTTTGAATGGGAGCAGGGGGAATGGGGATTTGGCACCCAGCACCGGCAGGGCTGTGGTGATGGGGTTTCAAACAGGTTGCCTTGTTGTCTCCCAGGCAGGAGGCACCAGGAGGGGTCAGGCTGGGAAAGCACCGAGAGGGGCTTGGAAGTAGTTGAAAGAACCTCAACTCCATCGGGCTCCAGGCATGTGGGAAGTGTTGCTTGAGCTCCCCCGCTCACAGGGCCGGGTATTTCACATTTGTTACTCGTTTGGACAAGGTTTTG